TATTTATTTATTTATTTATTTTTTACCAGGCAAAACACTAAGAATAACTTCTTATTTACTATGTCAGCCTGACGGGTACCAGAGACACCCATAAGGAAAAGGTGAAGGAGAAACAAAACATCAAGCAAACAACATATCTAAGTCACATAGAGAATATATCAGATAAAAGTATAAGATATACAAAATAAATAAAGACAAAACATATAGCATAAAAAACATAGCGCAACGCATACTCAGTTTCATAAAACATATGCCTAGCATTGACAGGTCAGTGATGATAGATAAAGCTCATATAAGGTTGATTTGAACTGACCTATAGGTACAAGTAACTGTAATTTCGGATCATTTTGCAAGTTATTCCATGTGGAAGGGCTGCATAGCTAAATGCGTATTTCCCAAAGTTTGTCCTGATCCTAGGAACAGACAACAGGTACATGTTTTGTGATCAAAGGCCCCGCCTGTCACCCTCCTTCCTCATCAGAGACCCACACAAATACGTGGGTAAAAGACCAAGAATTACCTTATGGATAAAACACTGCCAGTGGATACARGTTTAGCGGTTTAGCATTAATGGCCGTGCCTACCACTGAATATTTGTGTTTTTACAGATATTACCGCTTTAACGAGCAGACTCGCAGAGTGCACAGCGACTATCCGAAGTCCATCAGCAAGTGGAGTGGTGCACCAGACAACATTAAAGCTGCCTTCATGAGTGAAGACGGATGTAAGTCTTTATTCTTATAAACAAATCGCTAACTAAAGCTAACATTTGTCCATGTTTATATCTAAAGGGAGAGTTTGTWCTGAACATTTAGAATATGTGGTAGGTATTTCCAACCATTTTTAGACATGAATAAAAATGTTTTTTTCTACATCTTTTCCCCTTTCCAGCCTACACTTACTTCTACAAGGCCAATAAGTACTGGAAGTTCAACAACCAGCACATGAAGGTGGAGTCCGGCTACCCCAAGTCGGTGCTCCTTGACTGGATGGGCTGCGAAAGCGAGGAGCCCAAGAAGGGTCGGACGGTGATCATCATCGAGGAATCCGACGGAGGCTCCTGGGTGGCGGGCGTGGTGATTCCAGTCCTCCTGCTGGTGCTGGTGCTGGTCACTCTGGGGGCGCTTTTGTTCTTCAGGAAGTACGGCACGCCTCGGCGCCTCCTCTACTGTCAGAGATCACTGCTGGATAAGGTGTAGACAGACCAACGGGTGACTGAAAGACTGCTGCAGAGAGACTGAGGGAAAGGAAGAGGAGTTTGAGGGAAGTATGATGATCAAAGAAGAGAATAAAAGAGAAGAGAGAAGAACGGAGAGGTGACGGAGCAARTGCGAGGAAGAAACAAAAAAGAGACATTGTGTTTGGTGGTTTGTATGTGCTACGAACAGAAAAATAATGCCCATGAAACTGAAATCAGGAAAAATATATTTGTATATGTTAAGATTTTACACGTGCTGTTTATGTTCAGAAATCAAGAACGTACCATAACAGAACAGGAAAACAAAGACTCATCAACAAACTTCCTCCTGCATCCTAGATATTCAAAAAATACATCCCATTGTTTCGTTTGACTGGACGACTCCAACTGAACTGCTGTCTGATTCACCGCTCACTGAACAAAGCTTCAGTTTAAATTTTACCTGGAAATTYTTTATCTTTGTTAAACTTTATTGCTCTGATTAACAGTCGTTAGGTACTTTTTTAACTCTGGTATTCTTTTTTATGCTTCAGCACTTTTGTTTTTTTATCTATTACTTTGAATATTTTTATTCTACTTTTTAAAAAGACTTCAGTWAATTGACCTCAAAATAAAATCAATACAAAGTGTACGAAAGTTCTAAGTACTGGATCTGAAATGACAAAAAAGTCGTCTTAAATTTTATTTAAAGCAAGTTCTGATTTTTTTAAAGCATGGTTTGGAAAAAAAAAGTTGTAAACAATAAATATCTTACCTGTTATAGATAGCTCTTCGAACTTCTCAAAACAGAATTTAATTCTGTCCAGATTGATGAACTAATCTAACACAAAAGTGGATCATTGTTGTTTACATAGAATCGCATGYTTATTAAAATAGGAACTTATTAAAAGATGTACTGAATAGGTCTTGTTTGTGGTATTTTGGCCTATGAATTCTGTTATTTTTATTTTTTCATAAATCTTGTTAATGCTGGGTTAATTTGAATGAATTGTGTTTAACAACATTACTTATGCCGAGTTTTAACACAGATTGATGCACTCATTAATTTGGTATCTGTTAGCCGTCAGCTAGATATTTGACAGCTGCTATCTATTAGCTATTGGCTATCTGTTAGGTAACTTGTGGTTATATGCTTTCTGTTAGGTACTAGTATGTAGTTGCTATTTGTTAGCTATCTGTAGCTATTTGCTATCTGTTAGGTTTCTACAGACAGTTACGTATCTTATAGCTATATGGGATTAGCTATCTATCTGTTAGCTATCTTGTAGCTATGTGCTATCCATTTCCATCTTAGTAGAAATCAAAGTCGAAGTCTAAAACCAAAAACACTCTTTTGAGTTCAGGAATCCTTTTAATTATGCCTTTTTTATGTAAACCAAGCGTCAGCCACTGAAAGACGCAACAAATACTCAGTGCAAGCAGTCAGATGGAAAATGTATTTCTAAATGTGACATTTAACTCACAAATATTTTCAGACACTCTACAGCATTTTTGAATAACATGAGCAGAGCTAACTGCTTTAGCGTGGTTTTCAACAAATTAGTGCAATTTTTAATTATTACCCATTCTTGGGGAAATTGTTACTATAAGTATAATTATTGTTATTATTGTTATATGAAAAGGTTATGGTAATTTTTTGTATGTTGTCATTAGGAGTCCTGCTGGACAGAGGCATAACATGACAATAAATCCCTGTTTACATTCATATCATCATAATGGTAATCTGATCAGATTAATGTGAGTTCTAACTGCGAAACAACCAGATTTCAGTCTGATGCTGCCACGTAATAGTCATATTTATGAATCTTGATGATGGTGCTCTTTTTTATGTCACTTAGAACAGTTCAATAACAATGATAATGGTAATTATATTTATACTGATGATTTTATCAATAAAATGAATGAGAATTATTTTTCTTCTGTCTGTTTTGTWTTTAACAAATATGGTTACATTAAATGGTTATTTTAAAGCTTCCTCGGCAGTACTGAGACATACATACACACAATTTAACAAAATTTGTCATATCACCAAACAGGTCATAAGTAAAGTTGAGAAGTTTAAAGACGAGGTAAGATAATAGTTGTTCATAAACTTTCTTTCAATCAAATGATTTGTGTGATCTGCTAAACTGCCCATAACTGAGAAAGCTTTTTTAATTAATTTTTCCCTGTTTCAATCCACAAATACTTAGATTGTTTAACAGGTAGCTTACAGTTACAGTATTTACCAGAACAACCAATTACCAGTTTGTTTCACTGCCATTTCTTCAAAGCAAAAGCACATAAAAACGAATCATTTGGATTCCTTTCCACTTTTTACGTGAGTCGCTGCCAAATGAACATCTGCAGATTTTCCATGCCAAAGTCCCACTTGGGAGGAGTCAAGCTGTTTTAGAGTTTTGTTCAGGTTTTTTCCCCCAAATTTTCATTCTCTTTTTAAACCGTTTGCAAAGCAAAACCAATGAGCTCTGGGAAAAATAAGGTAGTGAATACATCATATTTAGGAAATGGCTCTCTAAACCTTTACTGAACTTTCCTGTGATTCCTGAAAATGGATGCTCTAGGAATGTTTTTTCTATTATGGTATTGACACTGAAGCTCTGTAGAATCTAGACCGTCTGTCCGATCTTTTGAGAGAATGGCAGATAATGTATCCAAAAACGTCATGAGTGAAGTTCCCCATTAGYTTTTGCTAACTTTAAGTTGACTAACAGCTGACTAACAAACTTCAACAGGTTTGTGTCAGTCCCATCAGTTTTCAGCTTGATAGGAGAGGAAGACYTGTGACAGACTGAGTGACATTCATCTTAGCAGTTGTAGGGGTCACCTCGAGTCAAATTGTCAAGGAAACTGTCTTGGACTCTRAGTCCTCTGATGGGCCTTCAAAGGGACAAAAACTCTGTTACACTTAGAACTGAATCGAGGCCACCCCAGGTCGCCTTAACCATTCAAAGAGACATTCTCTTCCTCCTAAATCAGATAATAAACAGAAGAATCTTCTCTTATTTGATTTAGTGTTCTCTTAACTGAAAGTATTACGCATTTTGATAATCAGAGAATGTTTATCAAAGTTACAGGAGAAGAGAGGACAGATCTCTTTCCTCCCTCAGTATGATTTCAGTTATGTATGGTTAAAACCCACATTATTTAAGATAAAACTATAAGAAAGCTAACATCTTTCTTCCCCCTTTTTCTTAAACTCTTCCTTGCCAACCCTAAGGTAACTTGCCTCAAATGTCTGGTATTTAACATTTAAACTGACGTTTGTGTTTCTATTTAAGTGTGGTTAACAATTAAGAAGTTAAAAGCTTGTTATTGTTGGTCCCAAAATTTTTATAGGAAATTAAATTGTTCACAATCAAGTGTACTCTAGTGATTTCGTATGATTTGTAAAATAAATGATCACATATTATGGTTCAAATCAACATTCACTGACTGAGAGTTACTTTTTGTGTCCATTCAATATTGCACTAAAGGAATGTTTACCCTAAATAAAAAGTGATCCCTTGCTAATTAAATTACTCGTATAACCTTGCTATAAGAAGTGTAAGTTAAACCCTTACACAGTTAGCGATTAGCTGTTTGTGTTTTCTTCCACCAATTTTTACTTGTTTAATTAGCGGATTATGAGTTAGCAAAGCTAACTTTTTGGTTAGCTGTGCCCACCATTGCATTTGCATTTCAAGCAAAGATGTTGCACAATGTGTAGTTGTTGTTAATTAGTCTCATGGTCTACTAATCAAATTTTAACTCAATAGCTCCAGCACGGACTGAGATAAAGCCGTTTATTTGCTTTCCGTGGTCGGTTGGATAAAGCGGCCATATTGATTTGGGTTGAGTGACTCCAAAAGTTGTAGGCAACATGTGTTCAATGACTAATTTTTGAAAGTTTCATAAAACTTTGTCAAGTGCGACAGATTCTTTGGGCAGCTGAAGGGGTCAAAGGTCATGTATGAGGTTGTCCTGTGTTCGCAGATGTTGGGGGGCCACATGRTGCAGGGCCCACAGAGGAGCCATGTGGACACAGTTCCTCCTCTGGCTGTTAGAGCCAGCAGTCGTGTGAAGGAAAGAATCGGAAAAAGTGACGGAACAGTCACATTTTTTCACAGAATCACCTTTCTGCCAAACATCTGGTATTCTTGAAACATCTCATCCTCTCAGGGCAGACTGTAAGTGTTTAAACTGTGTGTTTAAATCAAAATAAAATGTCTATCCCGACTTAAGAACCTCTCCAAAATTACGGTATTTTTTTAAATAAAAAAAAACACAAAGCAGTGCATAAAACAATTAGGAAAGATTTCTAACATCTCCTTTCAGCTTTTCCTTATTCCTTCAACCTCTTAAAAAAACTTTTATTTTATGAGCTTCGGCCTCAAACCACTCCTCCTCCCCACAACTATGTCTTGTCTGTTTTTACTCTCTGTTTCCCTTCAGTCCTTTTCTCCTWAACTCCTGATTTACTGTCAGCAGCAAACAAACAGATGAACCACAAATTTGAGACAACAAAGATGGAACATGAAAGAAGAAGTGGTGAAACTCAGAGATATGAGAATGTGGACTGGCTTCAAAGGAGGATTTTATTAATAGATTTATTTAATTGAACTTGTGGTACAAAATATTCCCTAAAATAAATGACATTTTGATGCTTATTGGTTTCGTTTTTCAGTGTTTGCACATTTGGAATGGCATAGTGGGCAAAAAGAGCTTTACTGAAACTACTGTTAACGTTTCTGATACAAGATGTATATGTTAATGAACTACTTGAATGAAAAAACTAGCATTCTTTGAAGAAATGCATGTTGCCCACCGTATTATGTGCCAAAGTTTTAATCAAAATTTCATGCAAGTGTTTTGAWTATGTGATGAGATGAACATTAGCTAATACCATTAGCTCAGTATTTACAGTTTTGACTGATTTACAGCTATTTTAGTGTTCAATAAGGTTGGGTAAATATGATGACATTTTAAAACCAAATTATCTCTAAGGGTTATCCAGTTGTAGATGTTCATGTAGGGATTACTTTTTGAGAGTTTCTCCAAAAGAAATCCAGCGGTTTATAAGCTATTTTGCTAACAGACAGGGTTGGTTCCAAAGTTTTAAACAAAGCTCTTGTTTGAACTATTAGTGCTCAGAGTATGTGTTTGGAACCAGTCTCAGATGCCACTACGCCAAATTTCAGCTCAATCACTTCAAAATRGACCAAATGATAGCCATTTATTGGTTTGTTTTATTTCGTTAGCCTTGTCGGTCATCTTGATTTAGGGTGAATCCAAAAGTTATTCAATTGTAGAAGAACATCTAATGATTACTTTCTGAGGGTTTAATTAAACTTAGTCCAATGGTTTTTGAGATATTTTGCTAACAGACAAAAAAAATGTGCACAAAAATGCACAAATGCAGATGATTGACATTTTCTCAGAGAACCCTCCACTTTTGATCTCACAAAACCTTAACCAATATTTGGCTTCCTAACTTTTATCAAAATTTAATCATGTGATAAAAACAAATTATTGAGAAATGTCAAGTTTGATGTGTTTTTTGTCCCGTACAAAACTTTATAGAGCCAGAGGGGTGGCCAGGGAGGCACTTGCCATCCCTGGCACCTGATTGGCCACCCCAGGTGCCACCCCCAAATGATTGACAAGTTTGGTGGGGTTTGAATGTGGCATTTCAAAGATGGGCATACAAAAATAAAAAACATTTTTTGCTAGCTGGAGTATGTCTTGTGGATTTCTCTTGGCTACCACCACACCAAATTTCAGCTCAGTATTTTATTTGAAATTAGCTTTGGCAGCCATCTTGGATTTTGTGTTCAAAATCAGGTTTTGTAAAAGACTGTTTCTTGGCTACTACTGTGCTATTTTCAGCTGTGTTGTGTGTTTAGAAATGGTTAAAGTYTAGCCCTTTGTGAAATTAGCATTAGCAGGTGTTCTTAGCTACAATTACACACAAAATTTCAGCTCAATGTTTCTYTAAACAGATAATTTAGAGCTGGRTGAAGATAGCTGTGGAGGRCATCTTGAATTTTGAAATCCGTCGTGGTTTAATTTATTTGTAAGTGCCCCCCTAAAAACCACCTRAGCCARACCTGTGCCACCCCACGCAAAAATGTTTAGCTCCGCCCTTGCACACTGCGACTGAAACATAGGAAATACGATTTTTACTGTCTGTCTGCTTTTCCTTCCAGGAATTTTAAGCAAATTCACGTTTTTTGTTGTGTTTGTTTTTTGTCAGTATCTGTTTTCGCTCTTCCCTGCCTCGATGGCGACTCTTTCTTTACCTCGCTGTCATCTGGTTTTTCCATTGGTTTCAGCAGAACTCTCTCATATTAACCTTTTTATTTTACTAATAAAACTCTGTTGTTTTCCTGGCACGCTGAAGGATGTGAAATTTATCGTTAGGCTGGCGTGATGATCTGTCCTCTGTTTCTTTTTTGTTTGTTTGTTTGCAGCTGTTGCACTTTTTGTTTTCCTTTTTCAATCTGTCCTTTTCTGTCAGGCACGTTTTAGTCCTGAATGCGTCTGGGCGGTGCAGAATCAAACCGTCAGGCTCAGCGGTCCTTCTTCATGCCAGGKAGGCAGGAAGTGGCTGGGGTGGCTGCTCTGTTTGGATGACCTACATTAAAGCTTGGTGTGCTTTTAAATGTGTGATGTTTAATTGGCACATTTTCCTCTTCATTACAGGTGACAACTTATTCTGTTTGACAYGTTTTGAAATAAAACATTTGTYAGACTGGAGTTYATTTAAGACACTTTGACCCTGATATCACTTTGACTWGCTGTTAGGCAGATAGTCTGATTGAAACTAATGTTTCTCCAAACTGAAACTGTAATAGAGTCATCTACAACAGGTAAGATATTTATTGTTCACAACCTTTGCACAGAACTCCACGTCAAAAGAGCTGAACTTTCGCATTAAGGTGTTAAGGTGCATTCTTTACAATTTCATTTAGTTTATTCTTTTTAATCATCAGCTTAAGTCATGTAAAGTTCACRCACCTGATGTACTTTAATTTTTAGATTTAAAGGGTGGGGGGTATGTATTTTCCAGGCACAAAGTTCAATTGTATGTGACAGTCAAATGTGACCTTCAGTTGTTTTGAAAATGCTGAGCTGCAGGGAGGAGCTAATCTGCAGACTGGGCTTCAGGGAGGAGCTTTGTACAAGTAGGCGGAGCTTTGTACCAACAAGCTTAGGCAGCTCCACATGGCTYCCACAGGAGATTTAAGAATTTCTTAAACATGCATGAGTCAAAGCAACACTCTGGGTATGTTTTTGATTAGGGAATGACATCATAACATGCTCTAAGACGAGATATATAGCTACCCCGCCACCACCCCTTTAAAATATCTAACGTRTTTGTATGATTTAACATTATAACAACGTCACCACAAAATGATGAAATATAAGAACCACTTTTAATTTAGCTAACCTCTGACTGGCCTTACGTTTGTCATAAAAAAAGCTACAAACTGACTGGAAACCATGATTTGATAGATTTTTCTGTCAACAAACGGGGATTATTGCAGCCTCCGGTGCCCAGTCGTCAGTTCTCGAAAGTCAAAAGGAGTTCATCCTTTTCAGACTGCAGGAGTTGCAAACCTGAGAACACCCAGGTCAGGAAGAGGCCTTTATGGGCGAGTTGCTGAATCAGAACACCACCCCCACCCCCCACCCCAGTCATCTTTGCCAGGAAGGCCTCCCAGTGTCTGGTCTGCGGGTGCAACGTGAAGGCCCGTTAAATCCTTCAATGCAACTTTTTTTTTGTCCTTCGACCCCAACTCCCTCCTACCCTTCACTGAAACTCCCACTACCCACACACCCCCACCCACCCAAACACTGCTGACTCCTGCACAATGAGCAACATCTGGTTCTCATTTCRACAAAACCAAAACAACATGAGGAGGAGGGAGGTTGTTGAGAGGAAGGACAGTCAGAGAAGTGGGTGTGTGTGTGGGGGGGGGGGGGTCAGATGTCTAGCTGCTGAGGCAGCTGGAGGTCTTTGATGCTCGCAGGTGACAGGAAGTGAGTGGACTGTCGCCTCGTTGGTAAATCTGACATAATCCTAACATTTCTTTGTCTTTACACAAACCCTCCTCTGATCTGCTCTGTGTCCTCCCACACTGCTTTGGAACCACTCAGCTCCTTCTGGTCAACTGCATGGAAAAAAAATAAAATAAATAAATAAAAATAAAAAAATAAAAACGGGGAGAGAGCACACTCCCACATCCACTGTAAAAGAATCTGCAACTCAGCGAGTCGCAGACCCTAATTACAGTGAGGCTTTGCTGAAGTCGGTAACAAAAGCGGGGCGACGGGAGGAAGAAAGGAGAAGAAACAGGAGGAGCAGAGGAGTCAGAGAAGAGTCTGCCCTCTTTTAGCAAAAAATCAGCTTTACAATAAAGTCAAAACACAGCTGAGCTGCATCTTAGAAACCTGTTGATATGTTTAATGTTTCTGCAGAAATTCACTCAAAAAACAGACATAGTTATAAAAAAAAATATGTCAACTGGTTCCACTCACCTGAGTAAAGATAATGCATTTAAAATAAAGTAAATGTTACCTTCATTCATTTCAGTGTACGTATAGAGGTAATTACACAAAAACCTGCCTTTTGTTCCTATAGATGAGTTTTATTGTTTGTTTAATTAGGTCAGTCTGGTCTACAGATTTTAATTTCATGTTTTGGCTTTAGGTATAAATCCCAAACTGTTTGAACAAAGTTGTCTCATTCTATGAGCAGCAAAACTGGCCCATGCCATGATATTACCACCACGTTACATTGATTAAAAAAGGTTTTTTATTGAGCATTTCAGCCTTTAAACAGGGACTTGATTTACTTTTATAAACTTGAAACTGATGCACAAACATTTTAAAAGGTTCACAATTTTCATTATTACATATAAAAAAATCTAAATGTCTTTTTTTTTGCACTATGCATGTTGTGTTCCAGTAGGTTTATGCTGTGAATATGAAATATGGATTTAAACCGTGGGCCTCCTTCAGGTCAAGCTGCAGAAACGCTCACTGCAGTGAAAATGTACCAAAAAGAACTGTATTGTGACTTTATAACAGAATATTTCTATTAAAACCTTTATTCGTTTCATTTTAAAACAAAAGCTTTTGTATGTAACAAAAAACTACAAATCCCAGTTGAAATGAAAGGATGTATATTTAAAGATTAGCTTGGATGTTACAGAAATCTTTGAGATTTGAATCAGTGATGCTAAATGCTTTTTTCCGCTTTTCCCCCTCCAGCTCGACAAAACTGCACCAGAGGTCTCATCTATGAGCTGTTTTTCAGGAAAGCTTATAAAAGGAGAAATGACGCCATCTAGTGGAATTAGACAGAAATTCACTCAGATATTCATAGGGGCGTGTCTAGTTTATTTTGTTGTTTTTAAACAGCTACTAAAGCACAAACATAAGTTGTTATAAAACAGAAATGTTTATTTTAAGACAGCAGATAGAAAAGTCAAAGGATTGGACAAATACATGTGATTTTAATGAAAATCTGTGTCCTGTGATGAACTGATGACCTGTTTAAGCTCCACCTCCACCTCAAACAGGAAGTAGCAGCTACAGCAACAGGAACGTGTATCATTTGCTCCTAACTCTTGGATTTCTTCTTCATTAATAATTTCCCTTTAGGTTTGAGTAAAAACGACTTTTTGTGCTCCTCTGCTCGCTTGGCCTCCTCCAGCTTCTCCTTCCACATCTCTATTCCTTTGTCCATCTCCGTGGACAGCATCACGATGCGCCTCTAATGACAACAACAAAGATCTGATGAGCGCGAAAGGTAAATAGGTAACGGACAAGTGTTGCGAGAAGATTATCATTGTGAAATTTACAGATAAAGCTTCTCTCTCCTCACGTCTCCTCAGTTGGTTTTTCATTGGAGGAGCTGGGCGTCCATCTGGGAACACAAAACCCACGAATTTCAACAAATACAGTATGATCATCTGTAAATAAAAGTGTGTTACACATGGAACAGCAAGTTGATATAGAACTATTCCACTCTTTTATAAAAAAAAGCTTGCTCTTTGCAAAACTACTAAAATAAAAATAAATACCTGCAAATGACCAGTCAGGTAGATCTGTCAGAGGTCCATATTCTGTCCCGATTCTGGCAAGCCCATGTCTGCAAGCAAAAGCACACAGATCAGTAACTTTGCAAAGTTTAACTTCGTTTATCTCTACATTTTCACCTTTAATATGATGCATCTTTAACTCATTTTAGAAAAACAAAACATATTAAAACAACTATTTTCTTAATGGGTCATTTTTGAAAACCATCAGTTTAATAATCCAACACGTCTAACATGAGTCAGTACGAGAATCTGACCCAAGTATTATAAGTCTAATTCGTTAACTAATCAACAGATTAAATCCCTAAAAATAATTATTTATATATATATATTATTTATATATATATATATTAAGCCGAATTATAATAAACGTGTTGTAAAAGAGGCCAGAAGGTCAAAAAATGAACTACTCAGATTCTGAAGCCTAACTACATCATATTTTCTAAAAAGCTGTTCAAACTTTATTAGACTTTGGTAAAGGTCATAAACCGTACTGTATTCTCCATTTCTCTCCACCTTGTACTCCACATGTCGCGCTGAACTTTCTGCTGGAGAGTCTCAACACTACAAAAGCAAAACATATAGAAACAGGTTTTCCACTTTTATGAACATTAAAGATATTTTTTCTCTCACGGCTGAACAGCTCATTTGAAAACTGTTAGCATTAGCGCTAGCATTGATGCTGCACGCTCCTAATTGTAAAGTCAAATGTTTTACAATCCAACACCAATGTAAACGGGTATTATGAAATATAAATAGCTGATGTTGGGCTTGTGCTCAACTTAAAAGAAAATACAGTTATTTGTTAACCTTCGTCTTACCTGAACGACACATTATTGTCCTGAAGGGCGCCGCCATTTTGACTGCAGAGTTCAGCTCTGACCAGCAGGTGGCGGTAAGAACACACATGTCAGGTTCTTTATCCTGTTGTTTTACACTGTCGTTAAAAATAAAACTAACTATTAATCAAAGCATCGACAATAAGTTATATAAGTTAATATTATTTACTAGAAGTAAATATGGATGTACATTTGAAGTACACTTTTCAAGAAAGTGATAAATTACATATTTTCATGTAGTTTTCAGATGAGACACAACACAGTTTTTTGAAGCATAGTTGTTTTACAAATTTTGTTTTTATTTTATTTTTAAACCACATGGTTTTATTAAAATCATACAAAACACACGTTTACATTTGAATGTTGTGTTTTACCAACATTTAGACATGAGTAATTAAAGAAAAACAACTTCAAAATTATGTCTATTTATTTATTTTTTCAGAGTTATCAAAAATAGCTTTAATTCCACTATTTCTCAAAAGCAGACGATACTTTAAATCTCTGTAAGGAAACATGGATTCATTCATAAAATGCACCTTAAAACCCTTATAAACTTAAAAATCAGTAAAAGTTGTGTCATACAGTCATCTGTTGAAGTTTATCTCTAAAATATGTAATTCTGTCTTCACAGATTTTATTTTTTATTGGTTATTTTAACTCGCTCTGATTTAGTGTGCCCTGTTTTTATTTGTTTTATCTTGTGAAGCACTTTGATCAATGCAAGGCATAGTTGGAAGGTGATATATTTAAAGTTTATTAATATTATTCTTTACAATCATTTAAACTTTTACCAATGTAGCAAACAAAGATCAAACGTCAGGACTACAGATGAAAACTAGCCTCCATGGCTAATTTTGGCATTTTCTGTAATATGCACTGTCCCTTCTTAAATTTAAAAAAGTAACAACAAACATCAAACAAAACAAAAGAAAACAAACAAAAGCAAGTAAATAAAGGAACTAAAGTCAAAACATTTCAAATTGCTGCGGCAGGTTCCTCTCCCATGTCTTGGGTCTCTTTCTCAGACAGGTTTGCCACGAGAGCCACTCCGATGCAGTACTCCAGGACTGTCACAACGGCGTTAAAACGATCTCTGAAAAGACACAAGGCACAGGGGTTTTTGATGGGCAAAAAGTACCGTGTGATTCTTTGGTCTAACTTCAGGACATCTTCACAGCACTTGTAAAGACGTGTAGCTGCAAAGCTACAGAACACAACAGAAGGGTTAGAACGTAACATTTTTGAATTTCGCACTCAAATGTTACAAATCTTTGATCCGACGTGGTTTTAACCTCTGAGCTAAGAGTTAGAAGGTCTTGCGTGAGACGAGCAGCGCCTTCAGTAGAGCGGGAGAAACCCCTCGGATGACATGGACGGGGTTTCGTCTTGTGAGCAGCAGGTAGATGAGCGGTAACACCACGGCTCCATGAAGGACAAGCCTGACAAACTATTCRACAATCAGACCAAGAGTGAGCGAGGAGCAGCTCTGATAGGGTCAGAAAACGTACCCTAAAAGCACCACTACAATAAACTTTCCCACGCTGACGAAGGTCTGCCCGWCATCGGAAGTCTCACAGACATAGCTTAATACCAGAAAGGCCGCTCCAGCGGGCAGGTAGCTAGGACACAGAGTTAAAAAATACATTCAACTCACTGAAGCTGACGTTAAATCGAATAAAAACTGCATCAAATCTGATTTGGTTGAAATGATTTGGACATATTTGAACACCACTGCAGGGCCCTCAGGAGAGCAGCCTCAATCATCAAAGACCCAACCCACCCCCAGCATGGACTATTCACTCCTCTGCCCTCCGGCCGGAGGTACAGAAGAACCTCCAGATACAAGAACTCATTTTTCCAAGTGCCACCAGACTCTTAAACAGCTGAATGTGACAACCTTCTGACTTTTATTATTGCACATGTGCACATTTCAGACTGTTACCTGTGGCACATTACGCGTTACAAACAGATTGTACAGTTCCCTTCTTGTTGTCATTATTATATTTTTCTCTTCTGGTGTTATTATCCTTAGTTTAGTCTCTTCTTTTTATCTAATCAACATTGTTTGTGTCCTTTCGGTGATGATGTTTTTCCTTTTTTAATACGGTTATCTCTCAGCATTCAAAAACGGACAGCAAAGTAAGAATTTCGTTGCTCAGYGAAACATGTTTTTCACCTGTGCATGTGACAATAAACACTTTGAATCTTGCTGATATTTCATTTCCACGTACCACATTATCATTTTCACCATCTTTTTGGTGACCATGTTGAGCACTTGGACAAGTATCAGGAAGTTCTCTCTCTCCTGTCCCATCCTCCTGAGGACCAGCCCGGCCACAATGTTCAGCCCGTCAACGTTCTCGCCAGAGGTGCACACATGTTGCTCCTCCTGAAAARGGGACGGGACAGAGTGAAGGCTGAATTTGCTGCTGAGAGAAACACGGACGTCAGCAAACTGTTTTTGGTACCTCGTCCAGGATCGTGCTCAAATGATCCGATTCCACATTCACCAGGACCTTCTGAGTCTTGTACTGAAAATAAAAGCAACGACTTCATTAGGTCGTGTTTATTTGTTCCTTTATGAAGGATCCACATTAGTCCTGACTGTGGTAAAGTTACAAATGAAACCTACCTGTGTGTAGCAGCAGGCCTGAATCAAGTTCTGTGGTACCATGTTCCTACAAACATCAAGAGAAAATCAACATTAGAAGACAGATACTGTACATAAAACTGAGTCAGGTTAGAAGGTTTGAGCAGAAACTGATCCAGGTCAGAGTCTGTGTTTCCTCCACACAGAACAGGCTGCAGATCCTGTAAAGGTGAATGCAAACCTCGTTCTCACCTTATCAGATCCAAAAATGTCTCCAGTGTGGTCAGGGCTGTGTCGCCGTCTTCCTCCTCGACCTTTGGATGTGTGCCGACGACCCCTGGTTTGATCAGGAGTACCAGCAGCCCTCCTGCAGGACACCGCATTCAGACTAAAATTATTCCAAACATGATACAAGAAAAGTTCCTTTTCAGGAGATTTGTTTGTACTTTGTGCTTCCTTCATCAGAACAGAGACCCTTTGAGAGTTACTGTTTTAGAAAATTGAAACGCTGAAGATGTCAACTTAAAGTGCCTGTGACATGAGATTTTTGTAATAACTATGAACGCATTTTTAGAAAGCTAACATTAATAACGTATTACAAAACAAATTTTATGCCACTCAGATGAACAGTTGTGGAAATATTTGCATGTGAAGCAACAGGAAGTGATGTCAAAGGGGAATGTCTGCATGTAAACAGAGTGTCACTAAAATGGCTGACAACCCAAACTGTAGAGAAGAATTCGATTTTTCCTCAATTTATTTTGAGTCACTATCAGAGAGATGAAGACGAATCAGAGTTCAAAAATATTGTTT